TTTCTTTTTAAAATGTGGATGAAATGTTTTGCTTTTTATGTATTTTTTATGTATTGTTTTTGATTTGATAACTTTGAACTAAACAGATTTTCTATTAAATTCAGATCTTGATCAAAGTTTGGCACCCAGTTCATAAGAGTGCTTATATTGATTTTCTGACATCTTGTTTTCTGTAAAGATTTTATTGGTAGGTTTGCAAATGTGTATCAGACTGTGCAATCTTTCCATGAGTTGGTTTTGAAACCCAGTATGGGATTCTGAGATAAATTACAAGATAAATCATTTGCTTCATTGAACACGTACAACAATGCATATTTCCACTGACATCAGTGACCTTTGATGTGTATCACCAGTGATCAGTCAAGTAAAAACAGTCAAAATATTTTATCAGATTTTCTCAATTTTTGCATGATATTTTCATACAGGGCATCTGTTGTTCAAGCTCAGGGAAGACTTTATACTGATGAATAAGGTGACCAAGTTTGATAAAGTTTGGAATAGAATTAGTAAAGTTATTATGCACACAATAACAATTATTAACGACGACGACAACGACGACGACAACGCCGGACACAATTTTTCCCTGAATATACCTTTCCCTTCCATCTTTGATAGTACGGGCAAGGTAAAAATCATCACACTCATTGGCTGAATCTCTTAGGTACCAATAATTAGAATACTTAGCACCACTAATAACTGAAATATATCTATAATGGAGTTGCACAAATTCAATAGTAGCTTGCAATCATACCACATACCTACAATTCAATGGTAGGATCTGATCATACCACATACCCACAATTCAATAGTAGCTTACAATCATACCACATACCTACAATTCAATAGGTAGGATCTGATCATACCACATACCCACAATTCAATAGTAGCTTACAATCATACCACATACATACAATTCAATAGGTAATATCTGATCATACCACATACCCACAATTCAATGGTACTTGCAATCATACCACATACCTACAATTCAATGGTAGGATCTGATCATACCACAAACCCACAATTCAATAGTAGCTTACAATCATACCACATACCTACAATTCAATGGTAGGATCTGATCATACCACATACCCACAATTCAATAGTAGCTTGCAATCATACCACATACCTACAATTCAATGGTAGGATCTGATCATACCACATACCCACAATTCAATAGTAGCTTGCAATCATACCACATACCTACAATTCAATGGTAGGATCTGATCATACCACATACCCACAATTCAATAGTAGCTTGCAATCATACCACATACCCACAATTCAATAGTAGCTTGCAATCATACCACATACCTACAATTCAATGGTAGGATCGGATCATACCACATACCCACAATTCAATAGTAGCTTGCAATCATACCACATACCCACAATTCAATGGTAGGATCTGATCATACCACATACCCACAATTCAATAGTAGCTTGCAATCATACCATATACCCACAATTCAATGGTAGATCTGATCATACCACATACCCACAATCAATAGTA